CGAATGGCCACTGCCACCTGGTATCCTTTCCTGGTCAGCACGGGAGAAGTCCGTTGCGCGCGTCTGTCGAAAGTAGGTCACCCCGCCCATTCAGGTCTTGAGATGACATGACAGTACCAACAAATGTCAGTGGAGCGAGTGATATGTATTTGTCCGTGTTATCTTCTCTTTGAGCTGACTGCCGTGGGCCAAGCGCAAACCGTATGCCCCATCGACAACTGCGACGTCTGTGAAGCATCGCGGGCTGACCCGTCGCATTCGACGGCTGTGGTGTGACCTAGTTTCGAAGGACGAAGCGACGAAGCGCACCACGCAGTACGGTTAGCCTTCTCGCATCCAGTGCTGTCAAAAACAAACCTTTGAAGGTACCAAATGGATACGGCGGTCATCGTTGATAGCATTGCATAGAGCTTCGTTGTCCACGTTGCTGCTCTGAAAAGATATCAATGATAGGATATCACTACTAAGGGGAACACTGAGTAACAGTGCCATGTTGCCGTAAGTCCCCTGTTTTCTAGAGCTTAATCGAGATGTGAAATTGAAAGGAAATTTATCAAGCGTTCATTTCTTTTATATGACACGACGATGTGTCATTGATGTCGTAGAGCAAAATAGCGGAAGATTTGTTATATTTTATGAATTGCTTCTGTCAGATTCAGTCACTTCTCCGAACTGTCCCGATTAAGCGAGTAATATTAGGTTGAGTCATAAGTCCTGGAACAAAATGATAGCGATGACTTCTAGAGATCGTAACTCGGGAAAGATGTGACGGAAATGGACGCGCGAGGCATCTTTAGATAAGAAAGAGAAGCTCTTCCGAAACATGCTAAAGAGTACACCTCACTATTCTCTTTCCTGCAAGCATGCCCCATAATTTCAAGAATCCGCAACACCATCCTATTTCTTTTTTTATCTGGCCAAGAACCCACGGAGATAGATAGACGTATGAAGGAAGTTTATAAGAAGGTTGCTCCTGCTAGATGCTCAATTCACAAATGGCATTCGAAGTTCACGTCGGACGATTATTCCGTCGAAGATGAAGACCATATAGGACGCTCAATGGAGTTGGATTTGGGGGTGCTGCGGAGCCAGGTGGAAGCCGATCCGTTTCAAACTACTCGTGAACTGGCAGTCACCTTTGGAGAGTCAGTCCACAGTTGTTCGTGAATTTAAGTCAATCGGCAAGCTCGGTCGATGGGTGCCTCGATGCTTTGAAGCAGTATGACATGGGCTGCCGCGCCGACATGACACTTTCTCTGCTCAACTCAAGCGCAGGAGATGGTCAGGTGTACTCGTTAGTATGTCTTTGAAAGAGCTTTTTATACCCTATCTAACGATGCCTCGCGCGTCCATTTTCGTCACCTCTTTCCCGAGCTATGATCTCTATAAGTCATCACTATCACTTTGTCCGAGGACTTATAACTCAACCTAATACATTCGGGTTTGAAAGAAAAGTCTAAGACGTACGTTTCTAGTTCTGAAGCACACAAGGCCAAGATGTTGCGGAACGAACAATTCGAATTCGTTATCTTCTTCGATTAGTCTTGCAAACAAAGCTGCAAGATCTACTTGCTGGAATGGATTTCATCATTTTAGGAAACGACATTCGAAGATGAGTTATGGAAAAATTAGTTATGGGTTGAGGTTCCTTGGCGTCAATCAATCCCGTTTTCGGGATGCCTCCCCCCCTCGCATTCGATTTCCGTTCAGAATCGTAGTAGCGGTCTTAATGTGCGAACGGGCTATGAGGTTATTTGCGATGACCTGCCGAGGAGCAAGTCAAAGTTTCCCAACATTGGTTGTATATCTATCGGGGATTCGATCGCGGACTTTGCACGTGATAGTGCGCGCTCCCTAGCTGGCAAAGTAAATACCAGCTCCTAGTAATATTTACTTGACAGTGAAGCCAGGATTTCAAAAAAAAAAAGCTAGCACGATTTTGAAGACCCATGCAATGGAGTGGGTGCCCATAGCCTCCTCATCAAGTGGACTAATAGCGAACTCAAATGTAATGAGCGACTGTAGTTCTCGGGAAACCTATTTGATACATTTGAAAAAGTCCGAGCTGAAAACGAGTGACCTACTAACCAACTGTAACACCTTCTGAATGTATCTGACTCCAAGACGGCGCAATACAAACCATATCTTGAGAGCACGGAACCTTCGTCCAAGCGCTATTTGAAGATGCTGAAAAATCTGATTTGATTACTGATCAGTAAATATCAGCACACATCAATCGCACGGCTCTTCCGTTAACCTTGAGCTCACAAAGAATTGTCTTGTAAACAGCTGATTGTGGGCCATCACTGGAAAAGGGCAAACTTTTTTTTCGCCTTCATTGACGTCTGGCTGTTTTACTGCAATAGGGACTACACCCTAATCCTACATCATTCAGTGAGACCACAAAAAAAAATTGAGTAGGCAAAATTAGGGGGGGGGCACGCTACCGCATAGCGAGTGGGGATGAGGGACTGTCGGCCTCAGCAAGTAAATTTGAAATACATGAAATGAAAAGGTGATCTTGATCGACACACAGCAGCGCACACGTAATATAAAGGGTGTGCCAAAATTATGTGCGCTAATCCATGGCAGTATATTCTAAGGTTCTAAGCTGAGAATGACAATGAAATCTATATGCACGTTTGCTAACATTATTTGTTTTTATTTATTATTTATACATTTATACACTCATCCGAGTGCGCCAATAGAGGGAACTGAGGGCAAGTGTACAACTACAGGAGAGTCTAACCAAGATCAAGATAAAACGAGCTGAGCTGAGCCAGCAGCGACAATCCGCTGAATACCAGTATCTACTCCAGGGTAGAGGTGGAAAAGAACTTATCTGCGAAGGCCGGGCCACACACGCTACAATAGCTAAACTGACAGCCTTGAAGAGAAGATTCCAGATAGCCAGTACCCGCACTGGTGGCCATGGTGCCTCATCCGAGAAGGAGTCACTGGACCAAGTCTTAACTTCGGCACAAAGGTATGCCAACCTCTCTCGCGGAACCGACTTTTCGGATACAGGCAAAAGACAGTACATGAACAGAAGGCTAGGCGCATTATGTACTACAGCATGCCCCATTCATATCAAAATATCTCCCATGAGCACGGATACAAGTCCAGAGTTTGTTTTGAACTCCTTGCATGTTTGCATACAGATAAACTCCTTCATTTCTTCCCAGCAGTTCTTGAGTCTTCTATGGATGAGTCCATTGAGACAAGATCTGGAACCCAGGACGGCGATTTTTCTCTGCTGATGAAGCCATGCAGCCATGTGGCTCGGCACCGTTCCCGGGCGAGCCTGGCTCTGTGGGTTGGAGAGCCGTCTTGCAGGAAGGACTACGAGCTGTTCCATTAAACTTTGTCGGATCAACGCTTCACCACATTTATCAGTATGCACTTTGAGTACAGGATTTCATCAATTTCTCCCGACACCGATGAAACCATGGGCGTGTTATCCCTGCCGAGAATTCCCTCAACGAACACCACTTTACTGTTCTTATAGTAGCTCTTCTGTGAGGAATGCACGCTCGCATTTCTTTCTATTTCCGAAATGCTGTCGTTTTATTTGTTGAGGAGTGGTTTGTCGCATACATTCTCTAGCCAGAGGAAACGATGAAGGGTTGCGTGTCCCCACTTAAGTAACTTAGCAACTTTCTGCATATTTCGCCCTACACTTTTGATTGATATCGGAAATGAACCGGCATTTTTGCATACGACAGGAGCGGCAATGAAGCTTTTACTTAACAATTCCCCCAACGACAACCTCGATAAGTCCTGCTCCTTTGCCGCCTTTTTGATGGGTCACCCAACATCACGAACGGAGCATTTTAATAGCCCCATTCTTGGAGAAAACGGCCTTTCTACCTTTCCAAATTTGTCTCCGATTGAATCTTTTTCTCTGTATTGCTTAACAGCCTTCTGCACGGATACTGTAAGAAAATGCCTTTCCGCTACTCGCAGCCAATGATCATAAGTGGCACTGAATGAGCCTCCGCCATCTAATAAAAGATATTGAAAGCTTCAGTCCAGTAACCATGCATATTGCAAAAAAGCCTACTTGTGCAACCAATTAATAAAGAACGAAGTAAATTCGATAAATGAGTCATTTTTCTTCAAAAGTTTCTGAATTTTGGCACCCATAATTTTGGGAGACCCTGTAAAAAAGTCTACAACCCTTTTTACTGACTGGTGGTTTTGTATGATCGTGGGATTGTGTAATTTTTCGATTCATTGCCTTCAGAGGGGTAACTAGCAGCTATTGGCAGATCGCCATATTAACTTCTGTAACAAACCCTGTAATCCGCTGCTACTGCCTGATGTTCATGCTTCAGATATACTGGATCGACATTGAAGTACTTCGTTGCGGTAACACCGTCTTTGAACCTGAAAGAATCTAGTAGCATTCTCTGTATTGTATTCCCTGTTATCACTAAATAGCAGAATGTGACTATCATTTGATCAGAACTCATAAGTGGGGCATTCATGGCTCACGAGTGAAGGTAAAGATCAAGGTAACCAGTGTGAACCCTTTTCAGTGTGTATCAGTGAATGGAAATTTGTCGGATGGACCCACATGGGTCGCAAAGGCGTACCATAGGTCAAGAAGGATCATGAGAGGGGCGGCAAGATCACCCGCTACCTATCCATGAAAGAGGACCTGGGGGAAGTTTGCGCGGGTCTTTTGGGTATAGGTAGTTGAGGCATTTTGTTTAGAATATTCGGATCCTTTCTACCATAGAACCCGCAACTTCTGGCCGCCTGCGACGATCGCTTTCCCCAAGACACACCTCGCCCTCGTCGTCACCTCCCGACAGTTTTTTTCCGTTCAACTATTTCCCGTATTTTCCTCGTTATTGTTCTTTGTGGTTACGCCATTAAAGTTTGTATAGCTACGCGTTTTGTTCCTCCGTGCAAGGTCTAGAACTATCCTTTGGACGGCTACTATAAATCAAAATTCCTTTAAATGTCTGAAGGAAGACTCCTTCCATGCAAAATTTTAGTGTGGAACCTTAGTCATCGGGACAAAATGGTTCCTCAAACGTTTTTTCTACTGTAACTGAATATTACTGCATTCGATCGATTTTCGAGAACAGATCGACTTCTTCTTTGGATTAGTCGTCGATCAATACAAACAGATATCCAAGTGGCTTCACTGTTGAGTATTCTTGAATACTGAGTAAGTAGGAATGCTCCCAAGCTCCTGAGCTACTGTTAATGGGTGTACAGTGGTAATTCCATTCACCCACAGCAGCGGCAATTACTAGATAGTTGTCTCACCTAATCATATGTCTCAGTTGAATGCCGCCGTTAGTTGTCTCGCTAAGGGAGATGGCATTTGTAACCACCGCCAGCTATTCGCCAATGCCTGCTCACTAACATTGAGAGCACTTTCTCTCACACTCCATAGCTCGTTTCGAATACCCCTTCAGATTCGGCAGCACTTAGATATTGGGAGGATAAAGAATTAAGTTGCCAATCAATCCCGTTTTTAGGATGCGCCCGACATTCAGCTTCTATTTGAAAACGTAGTAGCGTATCGAACTCAACTCTTAGGCAAGCTTTGTACCAATTAACCGACCTCGCAGGGAAGGAAGGGTTGTTTCACCGAATACCGTTCCGAGATCGTGCCGCGGACAATGCCGTACCCTTTTGACACTTTGACATACCACCCCACATTTCAGGTTTCAGCTTTTCCCATAGTTTCTCGAAACTTTACTCACCACATAGGCGAACAGTCAAAGTTTATGAGCATTGACTTATGTGCGTTAAAATTGTACGAATCCACGAATTCCATTCCTTTTGACAAATAGCGGAACTCAGGGCAAATAAGAAAAGAGCCTAGAAATTGAATTTCATCAATTTACAAAGAAAATATAATTACAATCAAGTTTACGGCTAGCAATCCGTGTTAGGAGGGAGAGAGAGGGGATTGAGTCGTACTGGAAAGCGAGGACTGTCTCACCTGCGTATGCGGCATCAACATGCAGATAGATATGCTCACGATTACAAATTGGTCCTAATTCATCTAGTCGATCCATTCCACATGATGATGTCGTTCCGATGGTGGCAATCATTATGAACGGGATCAATCCCCTAGCGCGATCTTCCTGTAGTTTCATTTTTCTTCCAATAGAGTTTTCTTTTGCTTCAAACTAGGTCAGGAAACTATTGGCGATTCAGTGTGATCACCTTTATAGCCGTCTCTAAGGTATCCTTGGTTACCGTGTAGTTCTTCAATTGGGGATCGATTGTGCTTCGTAACTTTCGTAGTTTCACACCACATAACATTACATCCTTGTCGACTGATGAATGGGCCTAAAATATAGAAACTAACTGATAACAGAACAGAGAAGGGAGCACTATGGGAAGGACACCTCTCTAATAATCTTAGCCTAGGTTCAAGCCTGCGCTCCAGAACAATTGTTAAGATCAGGTGCCCTCCAAAAAAGTACACGAATAGCTGTGGCCCTATTAGCAGTTGTGTGAACTCTTCGATTTATTCATAACCTAAATTCTGTGATAATAGTTTCCAACTTCTCTCTTGCTTGACTTCGGCATAGTTGTTTATGATTGCAGTATTCTTGTGCCTTGCGTGGTTGTTAGGTGGAACAATTTATTTGTTAACGGCCTAACGTTTCAACGTTTGCGTCTTCTTCAGAGGCCTAAAGCAGCTCGAGACTAGTTGCCCAGTATACAAAGAGCGCAATACCCCCCGTGGCGAATGTTACGACGAATTCAAAACCCGTATAACTCTCCAAGATTCCACCCGCTCAAGCGGATGTAAAATCCGCTGTCTCCACAAGCGACTGTCAGTAACGAATGAGACTTATTGGTTGTCTTCCTTATACTTGTGATAAGGAAGATCACGTTGTAGTGCTACTAAGTCACAAGTCGCAGTGCGGTATATATGGCAAAAGATAATTAGTTATGGACGGGCAAGTCTGCCATTAGAGGCGCTCTGGATTTTCCAGAGAAATCCTAAAATGAACGGTGGAGGTGAGTGCCCGTCCATAACCAATTATCTTTTGCCATATATACCGCACTGCGACTTGTGACTCAGTATCATCACAACGTGATCTTCCTATAACAAGTATAAGGAAGACACCCAATAAGTCTCATTCGCTACTGACAGTCGCTTGTGGATACAGCGGATTTTATATCCGCTTGAGCGGGTGGAACCTTGGTGAGTTATGCGGGTTTTGAATTCGTCGTAACATTCGCCAGGGGGTAATGCGCTTTTTGGATACTGGGCAAATAGTTTCGAGTTGCTTCAGGCTCTGAAGAAGACGAAAACGTCGAAACGTGAGTCCGTTAACTAATAAATTGTTCCACCTAACAAGCTCGCATGGCACAAGAATATTGTGATAATAGTTATTTTTCGTCGCTTCCCAATAGAAACTCAACCCAAGTTCAGCACAAATAAGCGTTAATCAATCCCGTCTGAGGGATGCGCCTACGCTTTCGACCTACGTTCAGAATCGCAGCGGCTTATTTTATGCGTATGTGACCCATACAATGAATTGCGGTGGCCAGCCGATTTACAAGTCAGTGCTTTTATCTTGATGTTTTGTTAACTGCTGTTTTAACGCCGCAGTGCGCGAAGCGAAAGTCTCACAAGGTTGGCGATTCGTGGGCAATACTCCAGTCTCGGACGGGACTCGAACCCGTACTTGTCCTTTCCGGGGACCGTGCTCTTATCCCTTACACTACCGAGACCCCGCTTGCCCTCGCCTTCTTAGTGCTTTTATCCTCCCACACGAGTATGGTACCAATTAAACGGCCCTGGAGGAATAGAATGCCTCGTTGGCCCAGGCATATATCGATCCAGGATCCGAACCCGCGATCATGTGTGTGTGCAGCGCGCCACTTAGAACTACCACCTGTTACGGTAATCCCCATATTAGATTGTTTGAGCATTTTAAAAAATCGATTTCTCGAAACGTCAACATCATATCCATTTTGTACTACCGATCTCGGGTATGGGTACATTCACCCAGAACCGGACGCGCGAAATCGCGCGGCGAAATTCGTGGCGATTCGAACGGCTTCAGCGCCTATTATTGGGGTCCAAATTCGAAGTAGAGCTGAGTAGTACGATTATCTGACCATACTAATTACTCCACTTGAACTTTGCTACCATGATAGGTGTCAAAGTCGTCCCGAAAGCCACGATTCTCGCCGCGCCATTTGCCGCGTCCATCCAGTTTTGGGTGAATGTTCCATCCCCCACCGATCTCAGCTACGATCTGCTTTGCAGTACAACAGGCATCTTAACTCGGATTTTTTCATTTTATATTTAGGAGGAAAGGCTGGTTCAGACAGTTGCAGGATCGAAGGCCGGGAATGAAGAGGAAGAGCAAACCAATGGAGGAAGACTAGCTAGGGAGATTGCGAACAAGTATCTTTTATGAGAGCGGCAGAAAAGGCAACCTGTACCCCGACACCATCAACCGATAGTTTTCATGGCCTTTCCAGCATACTTATCAGCTTTTGACTACCCTATCCACTGAAACACTGCTTGACTGCTTTTCGATGGATCCTTTTAGTGAGCGTTGCGCTTGGCTTGGGACATAAGGAAATCTCACAAGCGTCTCGTAATGTTGGTGTAAGGATAAATTTGGTGGTGGGCTGCAGGATCACCAAGGTTAAGCAGACCACCGTAATCTGTGCAACGAGTGCTAGACATTTCCAACAATAACATCAATGGACCCTATACCACTCATTCTATAAATCATACTCGATTGATGGGACGGGCTGAGCATAGCTCTGGATAAATGACGATCTAAAAAAGCCCCTGTCTTGAGCAGTGCTTTTGATTGAAAAATGCGTATTGATCGAAATGTGATTTCCAAAAAATCGTACCTGATCAGAACAATAAGCGACCAATTTTTCGAATACTACTGGATCATGGAAGTAGGGAGTTATTATACCAGATTCGTCCTCCGTATTCTGAAAATGGCCAATCAATTACTGGTTCGTTGATGAGAAGTTTCATCAATTTCTGACATCTATATAACTCCTAACTAGGGATGCACTGACCGAATTCTGACGTACTTTGGCTAGAACACTCTTCACGGATTTTCCGAACTCTGTATTGGCCATCCAAGACAGAAATGATGTTGACTCGTTCTTCACCGCCTTGATAATCGCCAATTATGACCGCCTTTGGGAATGGAATACCATTTGAGCCGACTTACTTCTACGGCTCTAGCCCTTGCTGTGAGGATAGCGATCAAGGTGGCATCACTGGCAGTATTCTGGATGATACCACAACCGGTGCCAGGATGAGAGTTCTGAAAGAAGGTCTTTGCAAGGAAAATATTTGTAACAGGAGTAAAAGGATAAAGGATAAAGTTTTTGACGTTAATCAATCCCGTTTGACGGATGTGCCCTGCACTCGACTTCCATGCAGAATCGTAGTGGCGTAATGAGTGCGTATACGGCTTATACAATGAATTGAGGTGGCCAGCCGATGTACAAGTCAGTGCTTCTATCCTCCCAGACGAGNTAGGCGGGCATCGATCCGGGATACGAACCCCTGACCGTGCGTGTGATATAGTGCGCCACTTGCCACTACACCACTTCCGCCCTGTTAAAAATAGGATTAAAATACCCCTGCTCTACTGTCCAAAAGTGTTCTACTACTCCTTGGTGTTGATCCATCTCATTCGCAAGGTGCAAGTCCACTGTTTTCGTAAGTCGTCGTCACTTCTTTCTATTCAAGGCGTCTTCTGGAGTTACCTTGATTTCTGGGAGGTCCTTCTTTATAACATTCCCCCATCTCTTCTTCGGGGCTTTATTTGGACACTATCTTTCCGCTTCAAACTCTGTTGCCTCTCTGATAGCGGATCCTATGGCCTTTGGAGCAGTTGCCCACACCATCGCAAATGTTGCTCTCTCATCTTCAACTGGACTAAGGCTGGTCACATTACTCTGGTGTCCTCGTCCCTGATCTGGTCCATTCAAAGGCCTGAGCATCCCCATTTCAATTCAGTGAAGTTGTTTTCATGTTTCTTTTCGTACGAGCCAGTACACGCTGCCATGGGGCACGACTGTTCGATTCACCTTTCCTATGGGCGGCCTAAAGCGTCGTCGGTGCCACTGAACTCCCACTTCATCCAAGCCGTGTTTGTTCGACCCTTCACAACCTGATCCACTCTACCGTAGCGCCTGGATCAGTCCCCAATATCGGATGTCATCCTTTTAACGAATTCGTCGAGACTGGCTGCAATTGATTTTCAGGGGTTCTGAAAATGCTGCCAGAAAATTCACGATAGTCTTGACAGATTTTTTAGATTTCTCTTAGAATTCCGAAAAATATCCTCTTAGAAAACACTGCTTACTATGTGCACAACATGCCTTTAGACTTCGGGATATATTAGTTGGTTTACTATTTATAATAGACCGAGACTCATCATTAATTCTTTTTTCCGTTGAAACGAGGCTGGCACAGCTTTTCACGCTTTCAAAGGGATCCAAGGTCAATTATGAAGCGCACATCTCAAAGAATTCAGCAGGGAGTGGCCGCTCCGAACTCTTGAAGAAGTACGTATTGAATATGGGGAGACAGTTTGACCCCCTTATAGACCTAAATAGGGAAGAGGTAGCCAAGTATGTCATGTGTACGTGGGATACGGGCTTTAGGAACGGTCTTGTGTAATCGATCCGCCGCACGCCGCTGACGCGGACCATTTGCCTCATTATAACAGTTCTAGCGTTCTTCATACAGCTCAATCGCTATTCGATTATAACTATTGGCATGATTCTACTATAAGTTCTTTTGTTCCGTATTTCTTACTTGCTGCTGCACTCTGCTACATTCCTCCGCGCGCGGCGTCCCTCTCACCGCAACGCGACAATTTCGTTTCTGCTGCACCACACCCACAAACATTTCACCACAGACCAGATTTCTCTGAGATTTTGTATGGAATTGCCATGTAAGCACGACTCCTATGCGTATACAGTAGCGCTCAAAAGTCTTCGGTGAAACGCTTTGACGCTTTTCTGTTCATAATTTTTTTCTTACCATTAGTAGACCAAATCGCGCAAAATTTGGATATGGTTAACTAGAGCATATTTCACCCTACCCAACACTATTTTACTGCGAAGCTGCAATATCCACAGATAGAGCAAGGTGTTTGTTGCTGTGGCAGATTTTGCTAAAAGTAAAGNGTGTTCGGCATTACCGCTCGTTAACTTTAGACAGACCAAAAAATAAAGAGATTCTGGAAGGACCATCATCTGTAATTCCAGTCGATTTTGAGTTCATGCTCTTTGGGATATCTGGAACATGATCAGATTGCAGATTAATAGTAGTAAATATTCACAATACATCCACGCTCCAAATATAGAAATTTCGCATGGTTAGATCCAATAGGAAAGGAGTTACGACTGAAAAGTACGGCTGAAGAACCATTTCACCGAAGACTTTTGAGCGCTACTGTATATGTACGTACACATGGGTGTGGCGCACAAAATCTCAGAGAAATCTGGTCTGTGGTGAAATGTCTGTCAGACTTCTTCAAACAATCTAATAGTCATAGAATACAATGTGAATGGATTCTGGTCACCTTAAAATGTTCCGGAAGACCGAGGACGTCCACTAGCCAATCCAGCGTTGCCATTTCAAGTTCCGTCATTGCTGGACCGGAATTCTGGAAGAGATGAGTACATATTTCAGAGCATTTTTTATTACCATACCATTTACATCATTCATTATGTTTGTGAAGCTGAAATTATCGACGCATTCAAGAAAATTACCCAGGAAAATCCGATTCCGGCAATACCACCGCTGAGAATATCGGCCATAATTGCTGGATAACTACATGCAGTCGGAAAGTAGGCGAAAAAATGAGGATGGTGCCAGTATGTGTTACCTGAGATACATAATTTTAATTGATTTGTGGAAATCAGTTCCTTTTGAATTCATCATGAATGGAAAATAATATATCGATGCAGCTTCTTCTCTAGCAGAGATTCTCTGCAGCCACTATGCTGTTCATCTTTTTGAATTCCCCAACAAAACTGGAAACAGAAAGGCGTCCCAATGAACATACTTTTCTGATCAAGCAGAAATCTCTATATATAGAGAACTAACTTTTTGTGTCAGTTTGTGTGTCAGTAGGCAAAAAGTCACGTAGGTCTTAGGGTTTCCCGCTGGAATTAATCTGTGACCTCGGTGATAATAAATGAGCCGTTGCCGGACCGAAAATGGCCGAGACAGGGCGTAGTAAAGACTTCAAACCGATTTGACCGACGCAGACACTTAAGTAGACTGTTTATGCCGACCTTGTTATTACCCACACGGCCATCTCGTACAACCCCTTTCTTGCTACTTTTTCGAGGTCTTATATTTCTTGAAATTTAACAGTTTTTACGCTCGCTTTCTTTTTACGCCACCTCTGTACTTCTCTGCACCGTGACTTCCATTATTTCACTCAAGATAGACACCTCAAAATTACCGTGAGCTGTGCCTTCTAAGCAGCATCGTGTACACAAAGCACGAAGAATATTTATTGAGCGTTGATCAATCCCGATTGAGGAATGCACCTCAACAATCGACTTCCATTCAAAATCGTAGTGGCCTATTGAATGCGTATGTGGCCTATACAATGACTTGCGGTTGCCAGTCGAAGTACAAATAAGGGTGAAAATGTAGTTGGGAAGTTGGTGGGAGGTGGGGGGGAGGGGTACCCATCACAAATTCATTCTAACAAGAAATGCACTCAAACTAACGACGACTAATCCTGGCTATATTAACACTGTTTCAGAGGCGAAGAGGATGATGGGCACCGATCATCTGTACTCTTTTATGCGGTTTTAGCCTAGAAAATGTAGTTTTTACCTGAGCTTAAGTAGGGTAGAAACACCTGGGTGGATGAAATGATTACCTCGTGCCAAAAGAAAGAAAATAGTAGGAAAACTTGCTCACCGCGGTGCTCCTTCCCTCCTGAAGCTTAGTTAAAATTGGCAAATACATTTTATTGACTTCATTCCTTGTCATACTAACATTGTGATAGGTGCCCCCCCTCCCCTCCCCAACTACATTGTCTTAATCTCCTGATTCCCTCTTTCCCAACTTGATTTTTATCACAGTGAGGATGAGGTGAGAATTATGTTCTGAAGGCTAACGAACAGCAGCAAGACATGTGAGTATAGAATCGTGGTCATAACCATCTCCTATCCCTCACAAATGACCCAATTCAGGTCCTTAGCTTTCATAAAGTAACTTTAGTAAGTAAGCCTTACTTCGGAAACCTGGTTACCTTTCATAACGACTGACTCCAAATCCTTGAAGATCGTCTCCCATTCTTCTGGATCACTGGGTGGATGTTCAGGTACCTGAATTTCCTTGTGATTTTCCGTTTTTTACGCCGTTTTGAAAATTTTCCGGTCTTTGGAGAAGATGCGGTAGAGCATGAAGCTCTATTTGTTTACAAAACACTACATTCAAAACCTACGACTTCTTTGACATATCCCGGTTTGATATCTGGCAATGCTTGTCTCTCACGTAGATTTTCCCAAAGATCCGCAACAAAATCTACCATCTCCTTACCATGTCTCCGGAATTCTTCAGAATTCATAGTGGCACCTGGAAAAGATGTAAAAATCCAAAAATGAGCCAAGTTTCATATGTAACAAAGTCGAAATTCTCGAAGAATACGCTGTTGACAGAGGTATAAGGAATGGAGTTTCTTTAGATGACAATATACCCAAATACACATAGATATCCAACAGAGAAACATGGGTACTTAGATAGTCGTTTAGGCCAACACACCGGAAGTATTCCATCTGGCTCAACGTAATGGAGCTTTGCCCGGCTCTGACGGATGGCGGTCAAGAAGCGGATAATGACCGATGCAGGCAGGTAAGACACACACGTATGCATTGCAATGACATCATCCTACCTACTGGACTATTTTGAGAAGGATAACTCTTGGAAAGCAAGTGACTGAAAGGAATTCTCAACCACAACCATTACTTAAAGCGTTAGCTATTAGTCATCGTCAGAATAATCCGCCTGAGCCAACCAAGCCTTCCTACCCTACTTAGGCTTACTCAAAAACTTTCCGGAGTTGGCTAATTGGTACCAAGTTCGTCTGGGATGTTGAAAGCACCGACTTGTACATCGGTTAGCCACTGTTCTTCACTGTGAAAGCCACACGCATTCGGTACGCCACTACGATTCTGAATGGAAGTTGTATGTGACCGGCGCATCCCTCAGACGGGAGTGATCAACGCCCAAAACTTCACCCTTTATCCTTTCCCGTATTAGCCTACTTCATAATCTAACAGCTTCACAGGGTCAATTCGAGCTGTGATCTACAAAGTCATAATAGAAATGAAGATGAGGGTCTGAATTCGCTTATTCAGGATTAGCTCCTTCAGTGAGGATGGAGTAGTTGACGCGCTTTAATGGGATTGCTTCACTTATAATTTACCTTATTTCCTTTGGGATGCATCTCGCATTCTACCTCTATTCAGACTTCTGTTGATGTTTTGAATGCGTATGTGGCCTGTACCATGACTTGCGATGGGCTTATGATGTACAACTCAATCATTTTATTCTCCCGGTCGGGTCTGGTACCAATGACCCAACTATGATGGAAGGCTTGGTTGCCTCAAACAACTTCTGGCCTACGATCCGATCATGTGATCGTGGGGCGTGAATGTGCCCACTTGCCAATACCCTACCTAACGTTATGGGAACAATGTGAGTGAATTTACATACAGACTAGTGAAAGACTAGCTTGTAAAAAGAGCAGTACTCAGCCAATCATTCAGGCGGATTTGAAATCTTGTCCATATTTCACTTTTTCTATGGCTCACAAGATTATATATAAATCGATCGTCTGCCTTCGGGGCATCAGCAATCCTGAACCGTACGTTGGTAAGAGGAATGGGAGTCCTAGGAGTATACAGGAATGCAGATTTTCCGAAGTTAAAAAAGAAACAAAAAAGAAAAAAGAATGAGTCAATCGAGAGTGATACACGTTTTTGTCATATATCCTGCTTTGCACACAGTAAACTAGTAGGTACATTCATAGGTAGAGTGAATCGATAATGGCAAATCCCACGCGTTTTCAATTATTTTTGGTTGAGGATGTTTTTGGAGGCGTCGGCTTAATAATTTATTTACGAGCAGCTGTTTTTCACGTACAAACCACTTTTCAACTCTATAAAAGCACCGTTCTTAAAATTTTCTAGTGAGTTGTGATATCCAAAAAGAGATCGTGGCCTTTTGCTCAGGCACTTGGCAAATCGAATCCACACTGCCTTCCATATTTATAAATTGGCTTTAAAGGCACAGTTCACGATAATTTTGGGTAGTCCAGATAATGATGAAAAATGGAAGACAAGATCGAAACTAGTGTGACTGAGGTGAAGAAACTGCTTGCATCTGTGTTTCCAAAGTGNAAAAAGGCTTCGAAAAACCGTTAAAAAGGGGGCTGGACGAGAATGAAACAAGAAAAATGAAGAAGAGTGGGACGTCCGGACGAGCTAAACAGCGTGTTTCACTGCGTACGTGTGGGTCTTGGTGTGAATAAAAGACAATGGTAAGCGGAAATTCATTCACTTATAAGCATTAGTAAACAAAAAAAACCTTAGTAACAGCAAAAGTAGTTCACATTTTTCAGCCTCTAGGAGTAGGAAATTAAATAAGGGATAGCAGCAGCAAGAAGAGTAGCAGAGGAGAAAAGAATAGGAGAAAAACATCGCCTCATCACTCGGCGACACCTGATTGTGTGTGGGTCCTAGGACGAATAGTTGCAGTCTGTATTGTCTCGATACTCGTCTGACCGTCTGACGGGACATCGATCGAGAGGCGGGAAAGCCACTGGCGTTCCCGCCTATTGAATTATCGTGAACTGTGCCTTTGAAAGTTCCTCCAAACCTTCAAACGAAGGTTTCCTGAGAAAGTCTTGAACGAAAATGTGTCCATTATGAATAGGACTTTAGGAATATCTTCAACTACTCATAATAAAGTCTTAATTTCCAAACACTACGATAAAGATAAAGATAAACAGTAGTTGAAATGAACGAAAGCAGATTTCTTCTCGGAATTTTCTTATTGGAAACGCACTATTATGCGGATTTTGAAAAACCTCGAATGGATTTGCAGTTACGCAAAGCAGTGTTTTCTAACAATAAGCTTGAAATGGTCTGAAAGAGAACGTACTCCTAGATGTGACGTCACTAGAGGCTACTGGTGCCTGAAAGTGGTTTATGATTGCTAATCACTGCTAGCTAACCCCTCTCTGTAAGAACCGTGAGAACATATATGATTACTACAATCGCTACTCCTACACTTGATTGTTGACCATTCTTCTGAAGATGCCCCATATCCCATTTCCATTGAGAATTTCAGTGGCGGCTTCAATGCGTATGTGGTCAATACAATGTCTTGCAATGACCAGCCAATGCATAGGTCAGTGCTTTTTAACCTCCCAAATGGGCATGCTACCATTTTTCCGACCCCGGAACAGAAAGATGGCCTGGTTGGCATAGACGAATACGGGTGAAATCCCACACGGGTGAAAATGTAGTTGGGGGGCCACCTATTCAAAGGCTAGTATATCAAGAAATGAACTCAATGAAACGCGTTATGCCGTGTTATATCACGGACATGCCAGTTTTCAAATAAGGGCATTCGTAAGGAAAGAGCACCGCGGTGAGCGAGTTTTCTTTCATTTTTTCTTTTTTTTTTTTGCAGGAGGTAATCATCCCAGCCACCCAGGTGCTCCTACCTACCTTGGCTTATTTGGGGAACTAAATTTCCTTAGCTGAAACCACATAAAAGAGCTAAGGTGGTCGATTCCCATCATCCTCTACGCGTCCGATACAGTGCTAATATAACAAGGACTAACACGTTGGACTGAGTTCATTTCTTGATATACTGACCTTCGGATGGGTGCCCCCCCCCNCCCCCCCCCCCCCCCCCATCCCCAAACTATGTACATTTTCACCCCGATCCAGAATGCGATTCTCAGGACGTGCTTGTGTAATAGTGTGCCACTTCCCATTACCCCATTTTCATCATACGAAAGCAATACAAAAGAAACTCTTCAATTTCTCCAGAACAATTAAAAGCGAAGGATTTTTAATTGGTGACAATAATTACAAAAAAAAATTTACTGCAGAGCAATGGGAAAAAATTAACATAACATATATGATGTAGTCTTGGAAAAGGTGAAAATCGTCGAGAAACAGAAGAACGGGCTGGTTATCATTGGCCGGCCCCCCTCCCCCTTCCCCAGTCATGATAAGGGTTTCAAAATTCACGCAATGAAGGTCATGTGGCGGTAGGCACTTGAATCGACCGAGCCTATGCTTTTTCTATGAAACACTTCAATTTAGTTCTCTAAAAGCAGTTTACTACTGAATTTTGTTGCTCCCAGATATTTGCTTGTGGGAAACTTTAAAATCGTAAATTTTCGTCTAAGAGCTAGTTTGCATTACGCTTGAGTCTTATCAGTTTGTTTGAAAGTGACGTCAGAAGTTTCGCGTTCTCGCTACTTCCCCACAATTGACGTCATAGTCCACTTCAAAAGGTAAGACGCTTTTGAATATTTTTGGAAAGAGTATTTTCCCATAGGAGTTTACTTACCTTCGGATACATTGTGATGTAAACTGCACTGCAAGACAAATTCTTTTTCAGCGTTGAATAGCTATGATACAATAGAGGGAATTAAAGGCACAGTTCACGATAATCTTGGGTAACCCAGCTTATGATGAAAAATGGAAGATAAGGTCGAGAATAGTGCGATGAAGGTGAAGAAACTGCGTGTTTCCAAAGTGGACAAAGGCTTCGAAAAACGTTAAGAAGGGGGCTGGACGAGAATGAGACCAGAAAAATGAAGAAGAGGGGGGGGGGGGGGGGCGTTTGGACGAGCTATACAATGTGTTTCACTGCGTACGTATGCGCCCTGGTACGAATAACAGACTATGGTAAGCAAAACTTCATCCACTCATAAGCATAAGTAAACAAAAAACCCTAGCAACAGCAAGAAAAGCTCACCTTTTTCAGCCTCAAGGAGCAGGAAATTAAGTAAGGGATGCGGCGGCAAAAAGAATAACAGAGGAAAAAAGAATGGGAGAAAAGCACCGCCTCATCACTCGGCAACCAGCTGATTGGGTGTGGGTCCTCGAACGAATAGTTACAATCTGTATTGTCTCGACACTCCTCTGACGCGATGACGTGACATCGATCATCGATCGAGAGGCGGGAAAGCCATTGACGTCCCCGCCCATTGAATTATTGTGAACTGTCCCTCTAAGCAGAAACAGGCGTTCAAAGGCTGAAACCAAGCCATCAAAACTCATTTTATCGCATAATCTTGTATATGTAAAAAGAGTCAAGAAGTCAATATTTTCAACTACTGCTACTATCTGAATTTGGGCATTGAATAAGTTCAGGACGCTCGCAAGGGGCTCAATGTGCTCACGTCAGATTTGAGAAAGGTGAAAAAGCATTCGAATTCTCTGAAAAAAATGAAACGAAAATATTTTAAAGGGAACGACCGGCTGCTTGCCAACACAGGGTCCTTTATTTTTACTGCTTCATATGTAAAAGGGACGTAGGTGATGTAGTGACAAGGGGCGCACTATCGCATATGCACGGTCTAAGGATCGAGTCCTCGATCCATACCCTCAAGCCAACCGGCCTTCCGTCTCTCGTGGACCAATTAATCGGTACCAGATTAGTCTGGAAGATAAAAACACTATGTTGTAGCACTGCATGCTATTGAATACGCCATTCAATCGTTCCTGCGAAGGGAAGTTTAATATGA